CCGAGCGAGTTTATATACAAATCCGGAACGTTTCTTTCGAGAAATCTCGTGTCGCTTACAATCTAGCGAAGAGTGATCGAGAGAATGTCCGAAAATTTCCGTCGATCGACGTACGTTGCGAGTCACATCGATTCGACGCGCCGCTTATTGAAGCTTTAATAACGAATGAATAATATATGGTGTCGGGAAGGGTTCCTTTCCGTACTCGTACGCTCTAACCACCAAGTCTGGTTCTATTTAAAAATATTTAACGCGTTTGCCCGTTCGTCGCCATGCGTGGCGGCGGTGGCGCGCGTGATATTAAGAACAGCTGGTTGATCCTGCCTGTGGTAGTCATATGCTTGTCTCAAAGATTGCATGTTTTCAGCCGAATTAAAGTGAAACCGCGAGAGGCTCATTAATCAATTATGGTTCCTTAGATTGCACACACAATTACTTGGATAAATGTGGTAATTCTAGAGCTAATACAAGCAGCAGAAGTCTTACCGGTAACGAAAGGACCGCTTTTATTAGATCAAAACTGGGTGAAACTAAATAACTTGAAGCTGATCGCACGGTCTCGCACCGGCGACTCATATTTCAAATATCTACCTTATAAACTGTCGATGGTATGTTCCGAGCTTACCATGGTCGTAACTGGTAACAGGGAATCAGGGTTCGATTCCGGAGAGGGAGCCTGATAAACGGCTACCATATCCAATGAGGGCAGCAGGCACGCAAATTACTCACTCCCGGCACGGGGAAGGTAGTGACGAAAAATAATGATACGGAACTCGCTCGAGGCCCCGTAATCGAATGAGTACACTCTAATCCCTTTAACGAGGATCAATTGGAGGGCAAGTCCAATAGCGTATATTAAAGTTGTTGCGGTTAAAAAGTTCGTAGTCGAATTGTGTCTCGCGCCGCCGGTTCACCATTCGCGGTTTCAACTGGCGCGTCGCGAGACTTCCTGCCGGTGGACTTGACTCGGTCCGACTCAATCCTGCCGTGGTGCTCTTCACGGAGTATCGAGGTGGGCCGGTCGTTTACTTTGAACAAATTATAATGCTTAAAGCAGGCTAAAATTTTGTCTGAATACAGTATGCATGGAATAATGGAACAAGACCTCGTGTCCGTTTCGTTGGTTTTCGCATGGTAATGATTAATAAGAGCGGATGGGGGCATTCGTATTGCGACGTTAGAGGTGAAATTCTTGGATCGTCGCAAGACGGACTGAAGCAAAAGCATTTGCCAAAAACGTTTTCATTGATCAAGAACAAAAGTTAGAGGCTAAAAGGCGATCAGATACCGCCCTAGTTCTAACTGTAAATATGCCAGCCAGCGATCCGCCGAAGTTGACTCGGCGGGACACTTCCGGGAAACCAAAGGTTTTGGGTTCCGGGGGAAGTATGGTTGCGAAGCTGAAACTTAAAGGAATCGATGGAGGGGCAACACCAGGAGTGGAGCCTGCAGCCAATTTGATTCGAAAGGGGAAAACCCCGCCTTTCCCGGACTCCGAAGGGATGGACAGATTAGAGCTCATTCTTGATTCGGTGGGTGGTGGTGCATGGCCGTTTTTAGTTAATCGAGCGATTAATTTCTATAACGAACGAGACTCTAGCCTGCTAATTTTTACCGTCTGCGGACCAACATTTCTTAGAGCGACAAAGCGGCCTTTGGCTGCACGAGATTGGGCAAAAACAGATCTGTGATGCCTTTGGATGTTCTGGGCCGCACGCGCGCTACACTGAAGGAATCAGCGCGCAGTATCTGGGTGAGAGGCCCGGGTAACCCGCGGAAAATCCTTCGTGCTAGGGATTGGGGTTCCTAATTGTTCCCCAAAAAAGAGGAATTCCCAGTAAGCGCGAGTCATAAGCTCGCGTTGATTACGTCCCTGCCCCTTGTACACACCGCCCGTCGTTACCACCGATTGAATGATTTAACGAGGTCTTCGAACCGAACCGCCGATATGTTCCGACGTCGTCGATGTGTTCGGAAAGTTGACCGTACTTAATCATTAGGATCGTTGTAGTGTTAAAAAAATAACTAAAATAAATAACTTGTACTTTGTACTCGCTGAGTCGATAATTTCTCGCACCCGACGCGGACGTTTATACGTACGAAGTCAGTGGAAGCGGAGATATTTCGGGTACCTGGACGAGCTAAAAGCGCGAGACCTAGCTTTGCGCTTACCGTCGACAAGGTGTGAAGGATTTTCGCCCGAGAACGTATATACATATATGTTAAAAGTTAGGCGCGGGTCGTCTGGAAATAAAAGTTCTTTCGGATAGACCGGCCCTAAAAATTAAAAGTTTGACTTCGAAGACCACTCTGCTCTTCCGTAGAGATACAAGTTGAAAATAAGGCGCAGGTCGTCCGAACACCAAACTTCGTTCAGATAGACCGGCCCTTGTCAGAAAATTTTTACGTCCAAAGCGAATGGATGCTCTTCCGTAAAAAAGTCCTATATATATAACCGCACTCCCGAACTAAGCCAAAAACGCTTAAAATAATGTGCGCCGGTGGTCGCACCATTCCTAGTGGATTCTTATCAGTGTGACAATACCCCTGCAACAGGGAAAAAAGACACAAAGTTACATGGCGAACGTAAAAGAAAAACTTTTGCGTTCGCCCTTTTTTTTAAACAGTTTTTTTTGAGACCTTACTTGCTTTTTGCGATCGTCGTTAGTACCCTCAATGTACTTAAGATGACTCATCCCATTGGTGGAAAACTTTTGCGTTCTCCCTTTTTTTTTAATTTTTCTTAAGACCTTACTTGATTTTTGTCACCATCGTTAGCACCCTCACTGTACTTAAGGTGTATCACCCTGTTGGTGTCCCGTTGCTGCGATTAAAGACCGAAAAATACATAGCGAACGTAAAATAAAAACTTTTGTGTTCGCCCTTTTTTCACAGTTTTGTTGAGACCTTACTTGATACAATGTACTTAAAGTGACTTATCCTATTGGTGTTCCGTTGTTGCGATAATAATCCTGCCCATAGCACTAGATGAGCACCTCGAAAGCAAAAAGATAGATAGCGAACGTAAAAAATATTTTATTTAAAAAATATATAAAAATAGTTTAAAAAAAATTAATCTACAAATTATTAGATAACTCTAATGCTACTAGGAAATGGGTTGTATGTTATTAAACGATCGTGTATGATAAGACAGAAAGCCGTCGTACTTTCTGGAATGTTCTGTGAAGTTTCTAATTCCAATCGAATATCGACGAAACCTGATTTTAAACTTTCGTTTTGTCTACTACAATCTATTACGATAAATGGTGAAAGTTAAAAAAAAATTGAAATGTTAAACATAGTTCACCCGTATTTTTATTATAGAAAAATTGTTGAAATTGCTCGTACATTTAACTTTTAAACGCTATTTCCAGTTCGCTCCTTTTCTCGACGTACTTCAAGAGTCGCAGTTTTTCAATATCGGCTACTTGAATGTGTGGCAATCGATATATCGCTTTAAATAATTCTATTTTGAGTTTTTCATTTTCTTTCGAAGATACCACGGCATTTTGATCGGCAGAACTTCGAATTAAAGACAGTTTATATTAGTTTGGTTATACAGTTTGGCAAAAAAACTAGGCATGAGCCATTTTTGTCTCAAAGTCGACCCTTCGATAAAATTTTAACCTATATTTTTTTGGAAACAATAATTGACCGTATTGGTTCGCTATATATTTTTCTGTCTTCGAAGTGCGGATCCTCTAGTACTAAGGGCAGGATTATTATCGCGACAAAAGGACATCAATGGGATGAGTCACCTTAAGTACATTGAGGGTACTAACGACGGTCACTAAAAGCAAGTAAGGTCTCAAAAAAAATTGTTAAAAAAAAAAGGGCGAACGCTCTCTGTCTTTTTTCCCTGTTACAGTGGTCACACTGACAAGAATCCCCTACGGATGGTGCGACCACCGGCGCACATTATTTTAAGTCATTTTCGCATGGTTCGAGAGCGCGTTTTCTCTCGTATTATATAGCTTTATTAGGGAAGAGCTCCCATTCGCTTTCGAACGAAGTTTGGTGTTCGGACGACCTGCGTCTTTTTTTCAACTCGTATTTCTACCGAAGAGCAGAGCGGTCTTCGACGTCAAAGTTTTATTTTTTAGAGCCGATCTATCCGAAGGAACTTTTATTTCCCGACGACCTGCGCCTAATTTTTAACGTATATGTATATACGTTCTCGGGCGAAAATCCTTCACACCTTGTCGACGGTAAGCGCAATACTAGGTCTCGCGCTTTTAGCTCGTCCAGGTACCCGAAATGTCGGCGCTTCTACTGACTTCGTACGTATAAACGTCCGCGTCGGGTCGAATTTAATCGTGACCGATTTACAAATCGGTGCGACAAATTATCGACTACAAACAACTACAAACGTGTTCTAGACCCACTCTTGCCACATCTCGAATTTTTTGGATTATGGCTAAAAAGCAGCAAGTAAATGCTAAGTAAACACATCCTACAATATTTGGGATGCTATGAATCAGATTTGCTGACGTTTCACCAAATTAGACAAGAGGTTCTTCCATTAATTAATAGAAATGCGGTCCCCAGCATTATGACGTGCTATACAATTGTATATTGCAGAGGAAGGAAATGTATTGAAAGTATATTACTGTGTCACTATATTTCTTTTTTTTTTGTTATTTGGTTCTGTTTTTTTGTTTTATAGATCTATTTATTCAAATTTGTTAGTTTGTTTAGTTAGTCTATAAACTTTAATTATTTATTTTTATTTGGGACACGCTGTATTAACAAAATTATAATATTTTAAAGCTTCAGTAGTAGAAAAACTTTTGTACGAAACTTTTGTGCTAGGGATTTCCAGATCGTATAGCGGATGGTTTTATTTGGCACTCGATGTACACTGGTCCTTTATATTCGAAGAAAAGCTAATGGGGCCTAAACTACCTACCTGTATTCGCGTAAGCGGCCCTAAAACTTGGTCTTTGACGGCATCACTGCACAAATTGTATTTTCGTTCCCTCATTTATTCTGTGGTATGATTTGGCCAGTGTGTCCTTAACCTCAAAAAATCATTGTTGTCTGTTACCTCGAACAGTGGGACGGCGAAATTGACACAAATCGATTCAAATTATGGCCACGGATCAGGTGGCGAATCCTTCCTCGCAAAAGTCCCACATTTGCACAGTTTCCGGATGCGGTGCGTCTTTCACCAGGCCCGGAAAACTCGCCACTCACATGCGAACACACACCGGGGAGGTTGGTATTTAATCTTGTGGCTCTTTTAAATATTCAATTGGCCATTTGCAGAGACCGTTCAGATGTGACCTTGAAGGTTGTTTGAAAAGCTATACAAACTCGCATCACTTAAAGAGGCACCGATCTATTAGTCACGATAAGGTCGTCTCGACGCAAATTATGTGTACCTTTGAAGGCTGCGGCATGGTATTTTACCATAAATACAATTTAAAGCGCCACTTAAACAGAAGCCACAACCCAGACTCGAAGCCTTTCAAGTGTAAAGACTGCGACGAATCGTTCAAGAAGAAGTTCCGCTTGCAACAACACAGGTGTTCTCATGGCAGCCCCGCTCCCTTCGAGTGAGTAGGTTTGTTGAGTTGTCATTTTTTTTGCGATATTTTTTAAGGTGCCATCTATGTCCTCTTTCATATACGGACTATCACAAGTTTCATAAGCACTTGCGGAATCATAAGACTTATAATTGCGACTGTGGTAAAAGCTTTAGTAGGTGGTCCGAAATTTGTTCCCACCGACGAAAGGAATGCACAGTTAAAAAGGGTAAAACAAGTGCTCAGTTTGGGTAACTAACTAAACTATATTTTTAGTAAACAAGTGCATAATTTGCGGTAAGATTTTTTCAACCAAAGCGAATCTGTCTCAACACGCCTTGGTTCACATTGAAGAGAGCAAGAGGGAGATTCATAAATGTCCCTACCTGGACTGCGCGAGGAGTTATCAGAGGAGAAATAATTTGAACTACCATATTGCGCGTTTCCATCAGAAGATGTCTGACAAAGTTCAATGTGGCGAGTCCAACTGCGGAGAAACGTTTAAGTCCAAGGTATGCCCTTGCAAGTTTCGTTTGACGAATTTCACTGTCCCATTTTCTTAGAAAAACCTTAAACAGCACATCCGGATCGTACATCACGGGCTGCCCGAGAAGAAACGTAAACCGAGGAAGCCCCGAAAAGACAAAGGAAAGTCGAGAAAGTGCATTTATTCCATTATGTCGGGCATAGAAAACACCGCTCGATTAAAGATGCTCGATACCGCAGAAATCGACGCCGTGGAAAAAATTTCTCCTGCCTGAATTAAATTCTTTCAAAATAAAGGTTTCGGTGCAGCAAAATTCTGCTGTTTTTACCTGTTTTGCCCCCTTCCTTCATTATTCCTGTTTTTTTATGACCTATTGCAAAATACAGGCAGTGGATGCCGTATTTTTAAAAAGGTTCATGTAAACGTGGGTCGCCAAAATGCTTTGTTAGATGTAAACTTTTTATGTTAATGTGCGACATGTAGAAATTGCAGATCTACGAAAATAAGCAGCGATCTGATTTATTTTCAGCAAGCAAAGTGAACCGATACAAGTTATACGGACCTGTTTCGTCTATTACACACTAGATGGCGCCACCCATATTAAATAATTTTTTGAACACTATTCAATACAATAATTGTAACTTCGATCATTTGTAGCGGTGCATACGAAACATTCCATTTTTATTTGTTTAAAGAGGAGCCTTACCTAACAAAACCTTAATTAAATTTATTTCAAAAATAAAACAAAAATCATTGCAGGAATCTGTATGCTTAGGTACAATTCTTTAATAAGATTTAGGTTTGTTTAGCTTGTTTCACCTAGTTGGCGGAAAAATAAATAGATGAAAATATGTAAAAACTCTGACGACGAATGTAAAAGTGTCATTTAAAAATTAATGGTTTTAATAAATAACAGAACGAGCGAGTACAGTAAAGTGGTGTATTATTCAAGATACACAAACCTTCTATAAAAATAACATTAAGAGCACATAAAAACACGTCCTAAAAAACGACGGAAACAAATTATAAAAAAAAATTGACACAAAGGCAAGATGTCATAAATAATTCCTTAAGGTGTAGCATGCCCTTACATTTTACGTATGGACGCATCATTTACGCCATTTTCGACGACTTCCACACGCTCAACTAGTTTCCGGCCATATTTTGATAAAGGACGCTCGCAGAAATGCAGCATCTAAACTGAAAGATGTCGAATGCACGAACTGCCAGCGGCCGCGTTGGTTGCCGAACGCAGTAACTAATTAGAGTTGGAACGGTTTTTCGATCCGCTTTCTTCATAATTTGTAACTGACACACCAACTCCGAGTACTTTATTCTCGATTTTTTGCCTAAGATATGCCATCTCTTTTCAAAGTTACGCGACGGCATTCAGAAAAAACGTCATCTGGCGTTACACCGCGAAACTCAGAAAATGTAATACAAGTTTCAATGGGCGTTCTTTAGATGGGTCAATTCGAAAATATATAGCAATACTAGAACAGCCTCGCAATATATCCAGTACCTATCCTCTCTTATCGAAGATTCGTCGAACATTAACCTAACGCCTGTCCTCCAATGCCTTTCTCAAAAATTTCAGTAAATAGCAGAAACGTCGACCCGTTCCCCGTTCAAATCAAAGATTTACAAGCTTTTTAATTTTTCGATCGCACAGATGATTCTAGCAAAGATATTAGAACGGCAATTCTATGAATTAATCACGACAAAATTACAGGCTGCGACTTCAGGGATAATAACGAAGGAATATAAAACCATAAATAGATTCAACATTAGAATTACCGCATTAAAATGTATGACGGAGAATGACTGTCTTGAGCATGGCAACGACAATGAACATTCTTTCTCTCTATCAGCGAGTTGTATCACTCCCGTTAACTTAGTAATTATGACCGTAAGTAACCAAATTATTCTCTGTCATTTTAGCTGTATTTATAATACCGGAGTTCGATTTCCAAAAAAAAACATTCAGGTTTTTCAAAAATTTCCGTTATATGGGTGAATTTTGCTTTGCTCAGTTCTCCTCGTTCATTTGGGCTTCGACAAGCTGTTTTCTTCGTTATTTTGAGTCGAAGTTGAGGTAAATTCTAGACGAAGACAGCATGATTCATTTTTGAGCGGCCTTCGTGTTTCTATAGACGTTCTGGAACCTAATCGGAAGTGTGATAGATGCATTGACGTTGGTGGCAAAAAGTAATGCTTACAAATGAGAAAAACAATGCCAGGATTATAAACTAAAGTTTTTTACATTTTCAGATCTAAATTAGATTGCAACTACTTAAAACTCTCATCAAAGCATTGCACAATAATTAAACAAAAAGTGTGACCTCGGTTCCAACACTTTCTCTTGTTTCTGAAACAAGTTGACATTGATATGTTGATATTTTAGATATTCCCGAGGAACAAACACTTGAAGGTGTGTATGTATTCGTCGAGCCTGTTGGGAATCTGGCCGTTCATATTCGAAGAAAACCCCACGCTACGTCAGTTATACCAACTGTATTCGAACTTTATGTTGGTATACTACACGTTTTTCATTGGAACGGCTTATATGAAACTGGCAGAACTATTGAGGGCCGACGAAATACGAATGGACGACATCAGCGCCAACCTCTGCATAACGTTAATTTACACCATCACGATAATAAGGCAGATTATGTTGAGAGGAAAAGGTCAGTCAAATCAGTCAAACACGAAATGAAGGCGACAAAAAAATTACTTACGGAATGTGCCAAAGGATAAAATGTTTCACTTTTTTTTATTAAATTTTCCTTTCACGGTGACAAGTTTGGGGGTTCGTGCTTGAGTGTAATAATTTAAAATCAGCTATTTGAAACTGTGCCTAAGAGGCATTGGTCGATTACTAACAATATTTTTATCTACCTGGGCGCTTATCATTAAGAAAAATAAAAATAAATATAAAAAACTGAAAACGTCACGTGGACAAAAGATGTGCGGCGAAAGCTAACCTCTTTCCTTGGCGTAATTGTTTTATCTTTGGAGCTTGACAAAAATCTCAGGTGAATAATCCCAGAATAATACAGGAAATGGTTTCCTGCCAAGCGCCGAAGCCTTCTTTGCCAACAGAGGAACAATTTAAAAGGTCTTACTCGTGAAAATGATTTCTTGCCATGCTGTCCATGTGCGAAGCTTTCTTGCGATCGATGGTGTTCAATGTCGATATTACGTAAAAAATCGTTCACATTAATTTTTATTTCAAAGACGGTACAGGGAAATTTGAACAATATTATTACAATTAAGGTGTAATGCTTTCACATATAAATCCGTATTGCATTGAAAAGATTATAGATATCTACGCAATCGGATTATTTTTGTTTGGTAAAGCCGAAAATTAAGGGCGGTTTCACTTCCTAAAGTTAAGTATTTTGCGCAGGTGTACTGAAGATGATCCGCTACATAATCGACACTGAAAATAAAATTTACGCCGCCAAGGACGAAAAAGTAATCGAGGCCTACGACCGATGCGCCGATCTCACCATCAAGCTCAGCAAAATTTACTTGGCAATTTTGTTTGTCATCACGATGTCTTACTTTATCCATCCGTTGTTGGAAGGTGGATATTTCTTGCAGAAAGGCAACGAGACTATGCTAATCAGAGCGCTGCCTTTGTCCTCTTGGTTTCCATTCGACGAACAAAAGTATTATTGGGTACGAAAATAGGCATACGGTCTTTATCATCATCTTTATCACTTCAAAAGTAAAAAAATGTTTTGCATGTTTTGATAGTTTTTTCAAAAAAAAAAATCTCATATTACACACAATGCGAAAAAAGAAGCTTAAGTTCATGTTTTTGTTGTTGTCGTCTATTGTTATAGAGTGTCCAAAATTAGGTTTTCAAATGAACGATCAGCGCATAGAACATCTTTTATAGTTCCATTTTTTTTTTGTAACTTAGTTAAGTTAAATTTAATTTCTTTATTTTTTTTGTAATATATTTAATTTCGAACTTGATTTTGAATAAATATGCATTTTAAAAATCAGTTAAACTAAAGGCACTATTGTTTTTGACGTCAAATATACTGAACGGTCTAATTAAGCAACTCATTTGAACCAATTTCAATAAAAAGTTTTTTATCCTGAAAGGTTACTTATAATTTTTTTTTTATTTATTTCTCTTACTAAGTAAACTGTATAGAATTAATAAATACACCTTTATTTTGCAAAACAAAACATTTTATTTTTATTATCATATAATACGTATGTGCGAAATTACTACAATAAATATCGAATTATGCGGTTTTGCCAAGGGAATATCATCTGGCTCGTATTTTACTCTGTTTGGGGAGGGCTAAGAAGCATAAAAATAACTAACAGAGTTTAAGGAACACAGCATATTCAAATAACCGAATTTTTTACAATTTAAGGCGAACTTTTAGTAGTAGAAGTAGTTTTATTTCTGAATTGACCTAAACTAAACTCAAATATTTAGCTTTAAAAAAAAAGTTGTTCATACAGAACAGTTGAACTAAAAAAATTGCTTGGATAGAGGTTGCTTATATAGTGTGTCCACTGTTTTGATATATCTGATATTGTACATAAAATATGTTTAGAATTTCGCGGAGAACCTCAAAATGTAATAATATAAGCGTCGTCCCATTTGAAATAAGCAAGTTGCTGAAAGAAGTTTCTAAAGTACCGCGTCATTGCAGTGGGCCTACGCATGGCACGTGGTAGACGCGTGCATAGGAGCCTCGTTTGTGACGTATACGGACATTTTGATGTTCAGCATGATCGTCTACCCGACTGGCCAGTTGAAAATTTTGGATTACATTTTGAGAAACTTCCAGTTTTACGAGGCGAACGTGGCAGACGGGAGAGGCGACGACCGGGCATCGTATTTGGCATTTCGGGAATGCATTTCAAAGCACAGGGACATTATCGCGTAAATATCCTGCCGTCCGACTAAAGCCGGTACTCGTATACAGGGTGGCTGATTAGTTTTAAATAAACGACCCAGGAATAACTGCCGCAACAAAAGCAGTATCGAATTTCCGTACTCTTTTTGTTATTTGTCGCGAAATTAGCAGAATATATACAGAGTGTCTCGAAATTAGTACCCTAATAACTATAACAGCTTGTTCAGGTGGACATTTTGCAAACGAGTGGATCGGTCGAGATGGTCAGCTTGTTCGCCTGACTTAAACCCACTAGACGAGCGATGGCGAACCAATTTTTATTGGCACCCACACAATTTTTTTTATGTTATCTGATTAAATTAAATTAAATTTAAAATTTTTACCTACTCTACTTAACCTTCACCTGACTGAAACCGGGTCATAATTGACTCGATATTTACTTTTTTCTTTATAACTGTTTTGATATTCTGTGTCTTAATTTATTTTGTAAAATTTACTAATCAAATAGCGAAAGAAATTATAAATAAACAAAAATGACATTTATCAAGCTTATACGAGAATACGAGGCTTTTGACTTAATCAAAGCGTTCCAAGTTAAATTACGAATACAAAAAATGTTTTTTTCTAAAAGTGAATCGAAAAGTCAAATAAAGAGTCATTAACGAAATAATTTTCAATATTTGAGATACGTTTATATAGAAAACTGGTGTCTCTTCTGGACGTAGAATTCGGTGTTATCATTTCGGGACGCATTGCATTCAGTTTATTGAGCAGAGACGAGTTTGATAGTTTTAGACAGCTCTCCGACACGATTAACGTCTAGCACTTGAAACAACGTAATCCAGGAACTATAAACACGATAAGTTCAGCTAATTGCTGTTTTCATTTTCAGCTACGTGGACGATTTCAACGGCAGCATGCAAAACCTGATGATATTTGATTTTTTGCAATCTTCGCTGCAAATCGCTTCGATTTTGACTCAAGTATTCGGGGTACAAAAATGTCATGTCTACCGTAACCATCGAGAATCATAACCAAACGAACGCGAAATAACAATGCTTCAACAGCAAATCTTTATTTAATTAATGGAAAAAGTTCTTCGTTGGGTGCGTCGATAAAGCTTCTTATTTAATTCGTTTCGAACCCTATTAAAAACATCCTTCGAATGCTTTGTACTTTTTATTCGGATTTTTTCGTGTTCAAAATTAAACAAGTCTTTTTAAGTATGACGCTGTTGCCGTCGAAGCATTTGTTTAATGTTTCCACCTTCATTTCTAGTTTTGGTTATCATTCCAAGTTGTTCTTTGTTCTGTGTGCGTCGAAATAGTCATGTTGCCATGACGAGTATCGTGTGATAGCTATTATCGTTGCACCGTCGTAACTATTCAACAATTTGCCGAATACTTAAAAAACACTACATGAAACATTTATTTGGTCCTTGGATGTTCCCTTTAAATCAACCATTTTACGATGAAAATTAAGTTTAAAGCAATAAAACATTGAGTACACAATTCCCGAATAAATATTTTTCAACCTCACGCACATTGTGACAACAAGATTGACGGATCTATTGTCTCACTCGCGAATGAGAATGAACTCATCTTTTCTTCTAATGCAAATTCATCTTTCCCACAAGTATCGTCATCTGCAATAACAAGTCGCCGTGTTGTCTTCTTAATTTCGCTTCTTCTTGATTTACTTTTGTTTTAAAAGATGAAGCTGGATACCGGAAGAGCTTGATCGTTACACCATTTGCAGATACGCTCTCTTTCGAAGTTATATGACCTTTGTTCTCCCAATTTCGCCAAATTGCTTTAGAGAACAGTACTGGCAGATTTTAAATAAGCCAATACTTACCAGATTTTATTGACTTTTAATTTCAGAACGAAATTACGCTGGTACTGCTGTCCTTCGTAGGAACCTTCTTCGTCGGCATGATTTTGCGGTTGATCCTGTATTATTATTTCGCCAATGAAGTTTTAATATTGGTAAGTTGGTAATGTAATTAATTGAAATCACAATAAACGTTTGGATTAGAGCGTCGGACTGGCGGGCGCAATATGGGACAGCGGTTGGTGCGTCCAGACTCCCAGGGTGAAGTACATGATGGTCGTCTTCATGCAGCGAGCTCAAAAGTCGCTGAAACTTTTCATCGGACCTTTCGGAGTCATGTCGCTGCAAGCTTTTCTGTCCGTGAGTTTCGCCGAACCGTCGATTCGAGTGATACGCTTTAATTTCCGTTTAAGATCCTGAGGGCGACCTACTCTTATATCATGCTGATGTACGGTATAAACTAAACGGCTCACTGATAACCGCAGTGAACTAAACGACGACTAAAAGCCGCAATAAAATAAATGGTATTTGGTGTAATTTTTTATTTGGGTTTGTTTCTATATTCCCAAAATCAACTCCCGATTTCGATTTTGCTACCAAAAATTTGACATTACATTTTTTGAAATGTTTTCTGCATTTTTCGAATAAGTTGGCAACGTCGCATTGAAGTCAAAAATTGATTACGATATGTTAGACGCATTTCTTGAAGGAATCGTAATAGGCGCAGATATACGAGGCTGGTCAAGTCCATTTTCTTACAATGGGATGTCATTAAAAAAAAAGAAAAATAAACTTTTTGCGAACAGCAACATTAAATGAATTTTCTGCTCTTATTTTACTGTATTTATTTTAAGTTATGGTGAATTTTTAATATATTTTAGCCGATCACTGCATATAGGATTTTATTTAAAAAAAATAACAAATTTAGTTAAGTTTAGTTGAATTGTGACTTCAAGCAAACGTGGCGGTTTCCAATCGTCGGTTGTATAAAGATAAAACCGGCAGCTGAATTATCAATATTTTTATTATATATTTAATAATTAACAGTACAATGCATCAGTTAATAAACCATAGTAATACTATGGTTATCCTGCAAGTCTTAATCCAAGCGATGCGCGATGGGTAAAGAAACTGACGTGGCGATTCCCGCACGCTAGATCGGTGGGTTATTAGGTACTTTACGGACGGGAGTAGAAAAAATTTATTTCGTGGAGCTTGTCAGTTTCTTCCTTTAGAAAATATATTTCACCTTATAGGGTAATCTCGCATTGAGATGCGATACAATTTTATTTTATTATTTATGAGTTGAGCTGATAATTGAATATATTGCATTAGTTATTTGAACATCAAATAAATAAAAACTTATATGGATGGGAGAATAATATGTAAAAAAGAAAAAATGTAATAAATGTTATTATAACAGAAAAACATTATAATATAGTCGTAACTTTCGCATTAAGTAATACTGTAATGCGTAATTTTTATTCTTTTAAAATAAAAGTGTCTCCCGCTATCTTCAGTGAAAGTGATAACAATAGGAGGGGGCAAAGAGAAAAAAATGCAATGAAATCAATGCCCGACAATGAAGATGGCTCAGGCTTTTGTCGGGTCACTCCGCAGTCCCTTCCCCATACCTAAATACTAAATGTTAATATGTTCTTTGTTAAAATCACTCCATTCGATCTCTTGGAACGAGTGGGACGCTCTAGAAACGATACTAAACATTCGCCAAGCTTCTCTACAGTCTTGAAGCAATGAACAATCTGCTTGAACAACAAAAAAATTAACGCCAGCGATTGGTAATCTATCGGACGGACTACCCCAACGCGTGAGTCATGCGCCGCAATAACACACGGGGAGCGTGGGAAGCATTTTAGAAGCACGACGTGACCCTCCGTCGAGGGGGACGAAATCAATCAAAATACCAAGTGGACCGTGAGAGCGCGTCTCTATTATTATTCTTTTTCGAGACTGCTTCCTTAATTCAGTTTCCAACCATCGTAGGGGTCGCTTTTTGCGATTGAAGATCCTGCAGCCTTTCGGGACGCAAAGTGTAATTTGCGATGGCGATCCTCTGTCGAACGCAATCGTAGCCTGTTTAAATGAGGAAAAATATGTGGAAACTTATGCATTTAAATAAAAAAATAAATAGAATTTATTTATTATTGTTTTGATTGGGTACGATTCTGTGCGTAGTTTGCGTCGTATGGATAGTAAATGGACGAAAACTCTAAAGTTAGATCCTTGTAGAGTTAATTAAAATATTTTCCAGTTCATTCACAAACCGTTGATTTTAAATAGTCTTTTGCAAATACTACACAGTAAGGTGGAGAATGGGAGTTCTGAAGAAAATTTACGTAATCGTTACCGTTCAAAGTGACGTCGAAGGAACGGAGACTAATTATCCTGCTGTTTAAAATAGTGCACCATACATTTACAGTCCTTGAAATTGAAATTCTCTGTAGCAATAAAGATTTACGGTCATCGGTTTTTTCGATTTATGATACCACTGGTTCAAAACTGAACCCTTTTTTCTGGATCCCTTGTATCCTGCTTTTTTTTGAGAGTCGATTGAATTTTCAAGAAAACTCTTCTTTCAAGCTTTCAGATAGTTTTCTTCAATTTTTAGTGAAGTTTTTCAATCACATCTTTATCTCTTTCCAATGTTGTCTTCTTTCTGACCAGGCTGGATGTTGAAAGTTTTCATAGATTCGATGAAAGATTTTCTTGGGTACATTACATATGACCTTAGAATAATTAAGATTTCAATTATCTTTGTAATTATAATAACGTATAATTATTATTATGAATATTGATTTGTTATTTTATACAATCAATATTATGAATATTACATAAATTAAATATGTTATATAAAAATATTTACATACCTTGGTCACATTTCTGACGAATTATAAAGTTGTGACTTGTGAATTTTTGATAATTATGTTGGGTTAAATTTCAGTTTCCTTAAAATTAAATTTATGGTTCGGTAAATTTTCCTGTATGCGCAAAGCGTTTTCCGTACATTTATGTTCGTTTATAGGATTTTCTAAAAACTTCAATGTGGCTTTATTCATTTATAAGGTCTGTGGAAAACTATGATGCCGTAAATAGAATGAATATGTTTTATTTTTTATTCGTTTCAGTTATTTCATGTTTCTAGTTTCTTAGCTAATTAAAAATACCTCTAACCTATACAAATTTCGTATAACTGGACCCAAGAATAACGCAAACGTTATATGTATAGCGGGTTTGAAGAATAAAAGGAAACTAATTTTTTCTTCGACGTATTCTTTCCCGTGAGTAAATATGAAATGATGTAATTTTGAGATCGGCGCAAATTACCCACAGATGTGGATAGGTTTGGTTTTCTATAACCTCAAACTCTCACGAGACGACCGGATCTGACTCCCGGGGGTGAATTAGCACCCCACCCCCCTCTGCCGAGTTTAGAGAACGAATTTTTGAAAGAATAATGAACGAAAATTCCAGTCGATTGTGCCGCGACACGCTCTATAGGGGAGCATTTTCATCCCCCTCGGGGCCATCTGTCAGACCGAATAACGGTCCCGTAGGCCGTTGCACGGGGTGTATTATGTTACCGAGCCGAGAACAATAGACGCCACTCTCATGTGCCGCAGGCGATTTTTAATTACACCGCGCGCCAGATACAGGGTGTTACGAAAAATGCCCTTTCACTATTCGAGACGAGATAAATTCAAAAGAATGCAAGAGAGATTATTGGTTAGAATAAAGTTCGCGAAAAGTATCTTGATGACAATAAATGTTATGAAGGAATAAAATTCCTAATCATCTGTTGTCACGGAAAAGAACCGCAACCAAAACGAATCGATCCGAGAATAAGAATAAGAATTGGTATTCCGCAAGCGATGAATTATTAGGGCAAGAGGAAATTTTATATCGGTTTAAGAGTAAATATTTCATACATCTACTTTTCTCTACAAATCTACGGAACTATCACTTAAGAATCTTGAAATTCCTAAATTTTTATAAAAGAAAAAAATATAAATATATTTTTTTCTCTCGCATTGTTCTTAACGCCCGATTTCAGTATATAAAAAATATATTTTAATATTGAATTGGACATTGAACATTTATCTTGGTAGTCAAATATAAGTAATTCCAAGCTAGACCTCTGCATTTCAACAACACTTTTTTACGTTTTTGTTTCAATGAGAAAAGTAGACATAATTATTGTTATTATCTCGACTATTTGGTGGATGCCCTTTCAACTTAATCACATCTTTCTTGTTTTAGATAGAAGAACATAAAAAATCCGACAACGCCTCTCGTTAAAAATCAACCAATTCGAAGAAAGTCAATTTCAATTCATACCAAACAAAAGTTGTATGTACTTGTACTTATATTAGTGAATATAAGTTTTATTTTTTAAGACGGGAATCCTTGTATTTTATTTCATTATTACATTCATTCATTACATTAAGGTCAGAAATAGCCAGAAATAAAGTTGTGGCACATTTTGAGTATTAATCTTGTTGCAAGATGCAACAGGCTTTATTTACAACAAAGCAGTGAAAACTAAAACAATTCGGTGGATATAAATATTTACCGATTATTTTGTTTCCGCTCTTAAAGAAAAATCGAAGTAAGATTGTTGCAAAGTTTTGCTTTAAATTAGATCGATGGTTCTTGATGAAGTTTTTTCCCATTTTATTGTTAATTTCAATTTTTTTTTTCATAATGTCTACCGGCCATTAGAAAAATAAATGTAAATTTATACGGGGCAAGTATTTACGTCTAATTTTAGCGCGTGTTTGTTTTAAATGGAAAGGCAATTATACCGGCGAAATGGGAGAAGCCCTAATGGCTGTATAAACTTTGGCGACGCCCTCAACCCTAATTTGCCTACAACAAAGGAGACCAACAACTATCGGTAAACATTGCTCTTCGTAATATTCCCTTGTTAATGCGTGGCCACGCCGATTTTCTGTGACTCAGAAATATTCGGTTTGTCTGTTGAATATTTGGAATGTTCTGTTTAATGGAAAATACAATACTTTTTTTATAACCTATCGATGGTCAGCTAACAAAAACGATTTTTTTTTCTCAATGCTTAAATATTAAGATATTAAAAACATGCATAAAGTTTTATGTAAATTTTTCAAAGAAACTTTCAAAGCCTACTATAATACTTTTGACAAAACTTCTGGATCCTCCTAGGTCGGTTTTTACTGAGGCGAACTTGCTGACGTTTCGCCAATCATCCTGTTGGCTTCTTGAGAACATAACTCCTTTAGTTTCAGTTAAGCTCTGAAGAAGCCGACAGGATCAATGGCGAAACGTCAGCAAGTTTGAATCAACAAAAACCAAGGCCAGAGGAATCCAGAAGTTTATGAAAAGTAGTAAAGTTTTATGTATTTTTGACGGGTTTGTTTTATTTCCCTTATTATTGATTTAAGAATATTTTTATTCATAATTAATTCATAAAAAATTTGTTAAAATTCATTATTTTCCCTATTTTGTTAAATTGTGTAGTTATAAATTGCTTAAGATTAGTCCATAATATCCATATTGTTGTTTATTTTATTCATTTATTTGTGGTTGTCTGTAATAATAATTATTTAAAATTAATATTTTGCTGTCTGAATGATGATTTCTTAATATGCCTATTACAACTAGCAGTGCTTTGATTCTCTGAAAAGAATTTTGATCAAATTTTAACTGTTTTCGAATATGTGTTGCCAAAAAAATGTAAAATCTTAATTGATTATACAAATAACACCGAAATGGAACAAA